GGGACTGATTTAAATATCTTGTTCTCCCAGTAATTCGTCCTTTCCAGTCCTAAGATCCATACAACCGCAATTCCAAGGATACTTCTGCCTGCGTAAACAGAAATGTCCCGAAGGTGAGACTATCCTAAGATGTTTTTCCAATATCGGGGGAGATGAGCACAGACCTCCAAGACCCCGGCTTCCCGGGGCGAAACGCTCAGGAACCCCGTAGCGGCGGCTGTGAGCATCTTCCCAGTCGCCCAAGCTTGCGGGCGCTGATGCGTAGCCCTTGGGATCCGCGCATCCCCGAAGAGCTGGGCGAGAAGGAGGCGGGTACCGGCTGAGGACCGGGACCCTGTCGACCCCCTTCAGGAGGACGAGATTGCGGCCAGGAAGCTGGCATGGCCGAGGGGAGGACACCAGGCGCAGACCCCTGCCGCGTGGAGAAAAGCGAAGGCGCGGACGACGAGCGTCTTCCGCTCTGAGTCCGTGTGGAGCGAAAAGACAGCTCCACAGACACCCAGGACTCAGAGCCGGGAGCTGTGCGCGGGTCGGAAACAACCCCGAGGGTGTTTCCGCGCCCAGGTCCAGCCCTGGGGCGCAGGTACCAGAGGAGAACGCTTTCCTTCAGCAACAGTCCGAAGCCTCTGCGGCTCCGGAGCGGCCACAGCCTCGGGCCGCACAGCTTCTCCGCTACGAAAGGAGGCGGTGCCCGCTCCGCCCCGCGCCGCGCCCACCAGCTCGCGGAAAGATTCGTTCCCTAAACCAGAGCTGGGAATCTCTGTCCTTCCTACAGCTGTCCGTGTTGGTACGTGTCTATGCCGACCTTAAGGAACAGAATAATTCCACTCCAAAACTCTTAACATTTGTTTTGCTCTCAAATGCCCTGATAGACGAAAAGCTTAGGAGGCTGAATTATCCTGCACGACCCCTGCCACCTTTAGTTCCCTTTCACCGTTTCTCCGGAAATTTCAGAACGCCAGCCGCAAGGTCAAATGCGAGCTGGGTCTCAGGGTGCGGGTGGGTCCTCTTGGATACCGCGCCAGGCCCCAACCCTGACAACCTTTTGAACCACGTATCGGGATAATTTGGGAGCAAACCCAAACTCGCCTCGCTTCTCTTTGGCGGGATGCGCAGCATTTCAGTTAAATTCCGATTCCGAGCCATAAAGACCCTAGGCGACCGGCCTCCTCACACCGCCCCGCTAAGGTTGAAATCTTAAGAGGCACACTCCACACTCAAAATCTTTTCCCCCTTCTTTCTTGCCGGGTCCCTCGTTTAAACGGCGTCGGCGCCTTTATTCGCCTGACCCTAAGCGGAGGAAAACCCGCCTGATCCGTCATTGTCTGGTCCGCGGTTGGCCCCACCCCCGCCCCAATCAGTGTCACAAAACGCCCCTTTCAACAGATTCCAAACCCTCTTCACCCGGGCTCACCGAGCCTTCAACTTCATTAAGTGTGCGCTACGGCGGCGCTGGAGGAGGCGAAGTTTAAATAAACCGGAGAGGAGAGGGAGGAGGGGTGGGTTGCTAGTTGAACGGGAGAGGGAGAAGTGTTTTTGAAAAGGGGAAAAAAGTCATCAGGGGAAAAGCGCTTTGTAACCACGAAGACGCGCCCGCTGTGGCGAGAACAAATTGGATATGGAGGGGGAAGTGTCCGCCCCCACCTCAACTCCCGCTCCTGGGTGGTCCGGGGAGCCCCAGGAGAAAGAAAGATGGGGAGGAATCGGCGGTGAAAAGAATTAACCAATTTAATTGGGCTTCAAGAGAGAAATGGGGAGAGGCTCACCGATGTGCCCCGATCACCGAAACCAAACACTCTTCAGTAAAATAAAATAAAAATGAAATAAAATGTCTGCCTTTAGCCTTGGCTGAAAGACGTTTATGTCAAAGTTTGAGAATCAAGGCTGTTCTCAGCCATAGAGAGTAAATCTGCAAGATGGGGAAATTCTGCCCGGAAAGACCCCCTCCCTCTCTTTGTGGCCTCGGGCCTCCCGGCGCCGGATGAAAAGGAATGAAATTGAACGAAATTGAACGAAATGAAGTGAAATTGACCAGTGAAATTCGCCAATTTTCTTCTCCTTTAAACTGCCCGCTCTCAGCAGCACTTTCTGAACTCTAAGCCGATTTTTTAGCATTTTTTTTCTCACCTCGAGAGATGAAGGTGTGCCCTGGATATTTTCTTATTATTGTCACCGATCGTTGGAGCTTGCGGGGTCAGAGACTCAGCTGTATCCACCCAGAAGGCCAGGGAACCCACAGGAGGGGCTCCAGATGGAATGGCCTATTTCTCCTCCCAGAAGGCTGGCTTCCCTCCTAGGTAAGCGGATTTATGCTGAACCACCACCCTGATGCACCCAGAGGGTGAGAGGGGGCCACTGCCAGAACCTCTCTTATCAGGGCGAGGGGGGAAAAAAGTCCCAGGACTCTACCATACAAACGTGGGATTACTTCAGCCTTCTCCTTGCCCCTCCCTACAGTCCAGGTCCCAGGTGGGTCCTTGCCAGCTTTTAATTAACAGGTTCCCAGCCCACACAACCTGAAGGAGTTCTGAATTCAAAATACCCTCCCTTCTCCCCCGACTTCAACGGTGCACATATCTCAACAGTTCTTGTCTGGCATTTTTCAAGGCCAGTAATTATATCTGGCCCAGATCTGGCCTTCTTGACCCAGGGCAAAACTGGGGTCTGAATTGGTCTGAGACATCAAGCTCCCTAGAATCCCCTGGAAGGATGCATCTAACTCTTCTCCAATCCTCTTTATTTCTACCTTTTCCTGATACAGACCCTCTGATGCATATACACCTAGCAATATGCATAGATAAATTCACACACACACAACACTCTTCACAAAGACACTGAACAATCCTGAAAGACCCACTGCTTCTCCTGGAAGCAGCAGTTGTGGAAATATCTATCTACACCATCAGATATGAATTCTGGCTGACTTGATTTTTTTCTCTTCTAAAGGAGAAACAAATTGGTATCTTTTACTTAAAGCTCCAACCTAATATCTGGGGGTGGCATATTCATGGTAAATAAGATCATCTAAGCTTCAGTGTGTTTTACTGAGGGCAAACACACGATCATGTTCAAGCGCTCAACCTTCCTCAAGTGAAAAGAAATGAAATCAAATTCAGCAACAGAAGTCAATGAAGCAGCCAGCAAGAGACCATTATCCCAGAATCAGCAGACATTTCCCTCTATCTACCACTATATCTAACCTTCCCTCTCCTGGACTATTTGATAAAATCACTGGAAGGGAGGTCTGTGCTTCAGTCTCACTCCACTCCCGCAGTCTCTCAACAAGATGGAGGAGAGGATGCCTCACCTCTGGCAGAGGGGTTGCACTTAAGATCTATGCCTGGAACCTCCTCTCTCCTTAACTGGGGAAGGTGTTAAGAGACTTAGGAGTCCCAACCACTCTTCCCGGACCCCGGTGCGTTCTTACCCTGATCCTGATTCTGACCCTTTTCATACAGGGTACTCTCTCCTCTACTTCCTCCTTCTTTCCTACTGCTCCTAATGCCTGAGATTTGCCTAAAGCAGCCTGTAAGGCTTTTCCTTGTCTGCCCCTGTCAAGCTCACTCCATCTGATTCTCTGACCTTTCCTTCTTCCTTCTCTGTCACTTGTCTCCCAACAGACTTGTCGCCCCCAGCATGTGTCTATTTTCTCTGAAGGCTGAACTGCCTCTCACTGCACCTCCATATTTCTCTTTTTCTCCTATGACCTTAGTTGAATGTTCAGAGAAAAGAGCTAAGTAACCATCTTTGTTTCACCCCAAGCATCACCTCTCACCCAACACACTTGCAAGTCTGGCCTCTGGGAGCTCCAGACTCAGGGCTTATGGAAGACTCCAGCCAGCCGAGTGGCCTTGCACTCAGGCAATAGGTTCTGAGCAAGGCTCAAGGATTGGGGAAGTTTACCTTCATAGAAGAAGGCCTCACCAATCCTCTCCTTTAGTTCATACTGCCCTCCCCCCCAAGTTTCTCTGGCTGGAGGAGAGAGGGGTTTCAGAGTTTCCAGTTCAGGCCTTTCACTCTGATTATTCCATGTGTGTTGGGGGGGGTCGGGGGGTGCAAAGAATGCCCTACAATGGTCAGAGAGAGACCTCTCTCAGGGACACAAAAAGAAATGGTGACAGAGAATCGAAAACAGACACATGGTCACAGATACACACAGAAATAAAAACACAGATATCCTGAAATACAACTGACACCCCCCCCAAAAAAAGGACAAAAAGCGAGGCTACATGACAACCCAGACAAACATGAACGCAAGCTCCATAAAAGCCCCCATGTCCAGAAGCACAGAAAGGCTTACAGAATATGCATCAGTAAACACTTTCACTCACATTGTACTTAATGGGTAGAGTGTCCATGAGCCTGAGGCACCCAAATCTGTCCAGGCCATGCTAAGTCTGAACTAGAAAGAGATGAGAATCCCCCAGGTACATTTGAAATAAAACCTCTCTGCAGACACCCCAGGCAGAAACCTTCGAGGACCAGAGCGAAAATGAAAGTGCTAGAGGGGTCACAGGCATCCCAGAATCCTGGCCTTATTAACAGCCGAATGCCAAGACCACAGTGTCCCCTGTATCTGACAAACTCAAGCCCTCCTCTGCCTGCCTGGCCTGCTCAGGGCCCTTCCTCACTTCTCTCTGCCTAGGAGTCTGTGAGACTCCGGACTGGGAAAGGGGAGTGCAGGCAAGTAGACAGAGTTGGTGACTTCTGGAGTTCACGTACATTTATTCAATTGACACTGATGGGGGGTGGGGGGAGACAGGTTTTCTTTTCTTCCACACAAACCATCAGGCGATTTCACAGAGTCTCCCCAATTGGAGAAGCCTAAATCAATGCACACCCAGTGGACCGAGAACGCAGATAGCAGCCTGCGATACAGATATTTACACATGGTTACAGGACCCCTGCCACAGGATGTGCCCTGGCCCACCCCACCCCCACCTCTCCGGTCCCTGACCCAGACCCTCCTCTCCCACCCCAACCTCATTGCCTTTAGCTACAATAAATATCCCAGGGCCTGGGACAGAGCAGACCGAGGAGAGGGCTGCTGGCCCTGGATGGCTGGACCCAGCCGGCCACCGGAAAGGGGTAAAGTTCCTTCCAAAGCGCCCCCGACGCAAAAGAGGGAGGATTTTCCTCAATGGAGTGGGATCTCGGGATTGCCCAGGCCTTGTGGAGACCCTCGCTTCACCTCTCCGTTCACCTTCGCCTGTGTAGACACTGCAGTAGGTTTCCGAGAGAAAACGAACTGCTTTGGAGAAGAGCAAGGGGGGGAAAAAAAGTTGCATTTTCCTTTTAAGCACAAAGTAGATAATAGGTGTCTTTAAATTATAATATTGAACAATCAGGGCCTCAAAGCTGGGGAAGGAGTGAGGGAGAAGCAGAAGGGGAGACCTCTCTGCGCAGTCGGTGTTTCTGGCGGGATCTGCCCCGGCCTGGGCAGGCACCTCTCCGGGAAAACATTCTTCTGGGGCTGCCGAGAGGCGCAGAGACTGGCAAAGAGCGAAGACATCCCCTCCCCCTTTTACTGCTCAAACTGAAATGGGATCACGGCTAGCGACCTCGTCGCGTAGACCCGGGCCTCTTCCTGAGCGATGAAGCCCGCTTCGTCCCAACTGTCGGAGAGATTCCGAGCGTGGAACCACGGGCGCCGGCCCAAGGTCTGGAGACTCTTCATAAATAGACTCCCTGAGTTCCGCTGGGACCGCAGGAGCTCCAGGAGAGACTGAGGAGTGCGGGCTCAAAGTGGCCCGGATCCCGACACGGTCAGAAGTGGCAGCCACTGAGGCCTGCGACTTTGCCGGCAAACGGGGGTCCTGAGGACAGGAGAGCGTCCCCGTGGTGCGAGAGGCGAACGTGGCCGGCCACTGGAGCCAGGGCCGGGGCAGTCAGCATGGCCAAGACCTGGGCCTGACCCCCAGGACCCGCCGCCGCTGAGAACGGCGACCCCGGGGAGCCCTCGCCGGCGCCCGGGGGTGCTGCCCCGCCACCACCGTGGCCCATGATGTGGTCTATAGAGAAGGAAGGCCTCTGCCCGGCCCCGGCGCCCCCTCCGCTCGCGTCCGTCTTGAGGCCGGGGCGCAAGAGTGCGGTGCCTGCTGCGGGAGGGCTCAGGGATGCGGGGTAGAAGGCTTTGGCGCAGCCAAGCTCCGCGCCCAGGAAGGCTGGCAGGCCCGAGGGGCCCGGGCCCGACCCTGCACTCGGAGCAGGCGCAGGGGCCGGAGCTGAGGCTGCGCTCGCGAACACCGAGGCCGTCGGAGGTCCGGGTGGAGGCGCCGCGGCACGGCCCGGGGGTACCGACAACTGGCAAGGAGCGGCGGCGGCGGCGAAAGCAAAGGCGTGCGGGTGTGGATGCGGGTGTGGGGCCGGGCCCGGCGGGGGTGCGCCGTAGGCCGGGAGCGCCAGCCCGTAGCCGTAGCCATAGGCGCCGTAAGCCGCGAAGCCCGGCAGGAACGCGCCGGGGTCCCCCGCCGCTGCAGCCCCGCCGCGCAACAGCAGGTCCGGGTGCGGGTGCGTGTGTGGATGCGGCGGCGGCAGCGGCTGCCGCTTGAAACGCTTGCGGCGCCGCAGGAAGCTGCCGTTGTCGAACATGTCGGCCGACTCCGGGTCGAGCGTCCAGTAGTTGCCTTTGCCCGGGTTGCCCGGCTCGCGGGGGATCTTGACGAAGCAGTCGTTGAGCGAGAGGTTGTGGCGGATGCTGTTCTGCCAGGCGGGGAACTTCTCCCGGTAGTACGGGAAGCGGCCGCTGATGAACTCGCAGATCTCGCTCAGCGTCAGGCGCTTCTTGGGGCTCTGCAGGATGGCCATGGTGATGAGCGCGATGTACGAGTAGGGCGGCTTCACCAGGGGGCTCCGAGTTGCCGCGCCCCCCGACGGCGGTCCTGGCCCGGGCCCCGCCGCGCCCCGGGCCGCCGCCGAAACTGGCCCGGGGCTTCCCGCTGCGGCCGCCGCCCCTCGGGGCGCTAGAGCGCGGGGCTCGCCGTCCGAGCAGCCGCCGGACTCCTCTTCGTCTTCCACGGCTTCCCCCGCGGCTTCCTCCGGGGGAAGCTCGGGGCCGTGGGGGAGCACGTCCCGGGGGGCGCGGGGCCCGGAGCGGGCAGGGAGCTCCCCCCCACCGCTGCTGCCGCCGCCGCCGCCCACCACGTCTATATCTGCGTCGGCCTCGGACAGCGCGGCCGGGGAGCTCTCGGAGGACATGATCTCGCAGCAGCAGCTGCCCAGGGTCATGGTGCCGCCGCCGCCACCGCCGCTCTCCGGCTCCGCTCCGGCCGCGGCTCGGGCTCCGCCGCGCTGCCTCTGGGGCGAGTGTGTTTTGCGCGCGGGCGGGGAGGGGGCGGGGGACTGAGGACTGGCGGGGAGGGGTGTCCCCCGGCTCCGCAGCGCCCCCTCGTGGTTCACTCGGCCGCTCTCATCTCTCGGTGAGTACCCTACTGGCGACGGCTCTCTCCGCTGCCCCGGGAGCCCGAGCCGGGGGCAGCTCCTAGGGCGCGGGCGGAAGGAGCTGAGGAGCCCCCCCTTACTCTGCAGGTCTTGGCCCCAGCCCCCCCTCCCCCGCCCCGGGCTGGAGAGGTCGGGGGATTAGTCCCTCCCGCTTGGCGGCAGCCTAAGGCGGAAGAGCGCGAGTCCGGGGCGGAGCTCCCTGAGCGGGGTGGGGCTGGCGGGGGCGGGCAGAGTGCCTTGGCGGAGGGGCCCGGCGGGAACAAACAGCCGCCTCGGCGGGAGCGCTGCTCGGGTGGCCGGAGGCAGATTCTCCTCTAGCCCGCAGATCCCGCAAACCCTCGCTCCCTGGAGCCGCTGCCTTCACTGCGTTCAGCCCTGGATGGTCAGGGTTCACGCGGGTGCCAGTTGGAGCTGGGAGTAGCAGCGACAAGTCCCCCACCCGTCATCTCCCCAAGGCAGCGCCCGGGCCACCGAGGCCGAAGCGCAATTGGAGCCGCACCAGCGGAGCCTGAGATGCCGGGACCAACGCTGCCAGAGCGGGGCCCGAAGGAACCCGAGCGGCTTCCGGCCCAAGGCGAGACGCACTTGAGTGATCGCAAGGAGCAAAGTTGGCGTTCTCAGCTTCGGAGCTTGGAGAGGTGAGCGATTCTGGCTGCGCCCCTGTCTTCCCCTCCAAGGCCTGGACCCCGCCACAAGGGGACCCCATCCCCTTGCGACACCGCGGGACTCCAGACGGGGGACTGTGTGTGGTCAGACCCAGGGAGCGCGTCGCGTGCCCGTTGCCCGCTTTCCTAAAGCTTTTCTGGGGAGCTTTGGTCGTCTTTCGAGAGCGCGGACCGGCCCATCGCTGAGTTTGCCTGTATCCGATCTTCTTGGTTCTTGGTACCCGTTTGTCTCACTCAGGCTCTGTGACTGTGTTTCTCTAGCCCTCGGTGAATCTCTGCCTGTTTTCTGTGGAAACCCTGCATTTTCTGGATTTCTGTTCGTCGGTCTGAGAATCTCTTTCTCAATCTCCCCGTTTCTCCCACCCCCGTCGCACTGCAGAGCCACCTGCGTTCCTTCTCCCTTCCCCCTTCTCTGGCCGGACTTGCAGGCTCTACCGACAGGCAGCATCGAGACCTCCGTCAATGAACCCTGACCTCAACCACAAGCCAGTGTTGCCTTCAGCTTTCACAATCTTGTGCACGCGGTGTTGGTTCCGTGCTCTTTTTCCTATCAGCTGGGTTCCTGGCCATACCTTTAGGACTCCTCCTCTCCTGGCCTCCCTCCAGCAACCAGTAACCCCCAATTCAGACTGGGGCCGTCGCAACCTCTGGGGGTGACAGGGGGAAATGGGCACTGGACGTGATCAAGTTCAGAGCCGATGGACCGGCTGCTGCCCCGACAGCGCCCCACAGTGGTCAAAGCTCAGGCATGCAGGCCGCGAGCCCCAGCTGCGCTCAGCTGTCGCAGACTGTAGGACAGTCAGCTAGTGATTCTCCACCCCTACCCGCCGCCTCAGTTTCCTGATCTAAACAGTAGTTAAGAGCAAAGACCCTGGAGCTAGCCTGCTGGGATTCCAGTGCTGGCTTCACTCCTTACCCGCTCTTTGTATTTTTGTGTTTCTTTCTCTGTAAAAATGAGGTTAAAAACATCCACCCCCTGACTAATATGTAAAAGTAGCCCCATCACTGTAGGCTAGATACAAAGGAGGATATTGAAAGCACTTTGCAGACTCCTGGGGAGAAAAGGGTTCTGGGCAGTGTAGTCTCCCATCTGGATCTCAAACCCCCTTCTAGCCCTGGGCTGGGTTACACCCTTGCTATTAATAGTCCTCTCCAGTTAGCCTACTGAACTAGGTTTTCTGTAGATAGTACTGGGGGCAGAGTAGAAGGGATTTTTCCGCCCTGCAGGGTCATGTGAGAGTGGATGAACTCTTTTACCCAACAGCAGTCTCCATTCTAGTATATTCCACAGGTGGGACAACAGAGGCCTGGGGGGCAGGGGGACTCAGTCTCCTCTCCTACAACATGGAAAAGCATAGCTGGGTGCAACCCTTGTCATGGAATCCTCATAATAGAATTCTCCATCCTCCCCAGCGATTTGGCTAAGGGCAGAAGAGAGTGGAAGGCATATCCTGTGAGAGCAAGTCTGCTGGGCACCCCCATCTGGGACTTAAGACCAACGGGATCCACCTAGTGTGCTAGGTCCGCAAAAAAGACTGTCCTTGGGAAAAGAGAAGTGCTCCAGTCCTCAAACCATAATCAAGAAACTGGACAGACTAGTGGCCCTGAAATAATAATTTCATAGGTGTTGGGACCCTCCAGGAAGCAAATAAAAGCCTTGGGGAGAAATATTTGCATGAGTGCAGATAAACTCACATACCCAGGGTTGCTAGATTTACCAGATTTATTTTATCTGGCAAACCTATATAATCCCCAAGCTTGCTCATTACTACAGAGGCCTCTCACTGACACTCACAGACACTCCATACCATCCACCGCATACACACAAGCTCCAACCAGCTGAGCTCTGGTACTGTCTAAGTAAATGGAGAGAAAAACAACACTGGCATCGTCCTTCTCCATCTCACTTTCTAAATGTCTTTATTTCTAAAATGGCAAATGTGAACCAGTAGCTTCTTTCTTTGCCAGCACTCTCTCCTGGTTCCCCTTGCTCTAGCCCCCTGCCCAAGCTCAGGGTAAAACTAACTGAGGCATTTGCTGCCCAAATATCCTGATTCTTGCTCCAGTCAAGACTACCTTTCTACAGAGCAGCTGCAGCCACCAACCCACACCTCTGTCTGGCCCTGCTTCACCCTCCATTCTGCTGATACTCAGGTCAAGGAAAGAAGACATTGGCCCCCGACCCTGTTCTGCAAGGTGATTCTTAAGAAATCCTCCAGATTCTTCAGAACACATAGTTATGAGTGGAAACAGGCCAAGGAGATCATGTGACTTGCTAGGCTTTTTGAAGGGCCCCTTAGTGGGGTTGGGCCCAGGTGTCCAGGCTCCCAGACTAGAATTCCTTTATTTATTCAAATAACGCTGCTTAACACCTGACCCAAGCTCAATGCTTGCCTAGGGAGGGGTGTTTCTGGGAGCTTCTCACTCCGCCCAAAGCTCTGGCCAAATTTGTTTCGAACAATGCCAGGAGTAGGTGCCCTGGGGCTGGGAGAATGGCGACCCAATATTCGGGATTCGTTTAGTTTCCTACTCTTCCCTCGTGGCTCCAGCCTTTCCTGCCTGCAAACTGCCTCTTCGACTTCTCTGGATTGTGTGTGCTTCCTTGGGTGTGTCTGTCACTTCCCGCCGCGAAAACCTGGGTGCTGACAGAAGTCTAGGCTTTCAGCTCCCATGCCTGCAGCCTCCAAGAAGCAGGAGGCGACAGATTGTGCGGGTCTTGCTTACAAGGTCACTGGTAGTTTTCAGCCTCTTCTTTCCTCCGTCTCACTATTTAGCCACCTTTCTCGAGCAGCCCAGAAAGGATTGGGAGAAAGCGTCGGGGGCGGGGATGGCGGGCGCAGATCCGGGGAATTTTCCACTCGGAAATGTTGGGAGCACCGACAAGAGGTTGTTGCTTGTTTGTTGCGCTGTGCAGCTATCAGTAGCGTCTCTCCCCTTATGGCTCCTCCCTGCTCTTCTTCTGGCCCCTGTAGACGTGCTCTTCTCCTCGACTGGAGGGAAAGGAGAGCTCTCGTTTGATTATGAGAATATAATTGTCATCACGAAACCGGCCACGAGCGGCGCAGAGCTAGCTAGAGGCGGGGGCGCGGCGCGGAGCTCTCCCGCGGCCTTCCCACGGTGCGTGCGGCGAGCGCGGAGGTCCGCCCCTCCATGCAGCCCCGCTGCAAAGCGCCGCCTGAGCCAGGCAGGGGACCCCACGCCTGCACGCTTCTCTGATTTTACTCACAAACCTAGCCAAGGTACCGCGCAGCCACCAGTTCTTTTGGTCCCTCCCCGGGGCCGCAGCTCTGGAGCAAGACGGCGGTTGGGCCGCAGCGGGTCCATCTTCCCTTTCTCCTCCAGATCTTCGCCTGCTCAAAGGCGGTCGGCTGTCTTGGCCCTGAGTGGGAGGCGGGAGACTCCAGATCGTGTGACCTGCAGGGGCGAGCTGCAGGCAGCGGGGCTCCACATACATAGGAGTTCAGCGAGAGACCGGCCTCTCCGCGAGCCCAGAAATGGCAGGGCCTCGGGCGGCGTGAGCTCTTTTCACTCCTAAGCTAGCTAGCTCTGCACCGGCTCAGGGGTCGGTGCCTCTGCGTTCCCCCATCCTCGGGAATCCTCAGCCTCTTGGAGGAAACGACTTTCTCTCCTTCCATTGTGCACGGCCACCGTCCCTCGGCTGCGTGATGGGGGCTCGCGGGAGCACCCTCCGGCCCCAGCCCTGGGCGCCGCGGAGCTTGTGCACTTCGGTTAGTTCGCGGGAAGAGGGTTTCGGGCTCCGGAGAGGATGAAAAAACAGCGTGGGTCCCAGACCACCCTCCAGACCAGGAAAGCCGGCTTCGCCGCGACCGGGAAGGACCGGCCGTACACGCTTGGGACATATGCGGCAGGGCGTGCGGAGTTGGAGACGCTTCCAGGTGTGTGGAGGCCTGGACATCAGATCAGAGTGCCTTGCGGAGTGTGTCCTGGGTCCGCGTGCGTGTGTCTGCCCCTCCGGGCGTAGGGCGACGGTGCCTTTGTGTGCTCAAGTACGTCTCTGAGAGGCCGGCGCCAGTGCCGAGTTCTCCCCTTCCCGACCGCACATCTGGGCCGCGGACAGCCCTGGAACGATCGCCAGCCAGGCCCACAGCTCCACCTCGGGAC